CCAGGTCCTACGAGCCGGAACACCCACCAGGAGGAGTAGAATCTGATGACGAATCATAGGTCCACCCCCAGGAAGCGAGGATCATCAGCGAAACTCAGAAGAGGAGAGAGAGCACAGTACAGGGCACTTCAATGTAGACACAACAAAATGGCATCTAATGCAAATTAATCAACAAAAAGAAACCTAGCACCGTGAGTACCTGCATGTACTATGTGTAGCAATTATGTGAATTACCATTTAAGTGAAGAAATGGATGCAACACACTACGTGTACTGGAAAAAGTGGTGCAAAAAGAATAAAATTAATAAAACCCTATACTGTGTATGGGAGAAATCACTGCACTAAGTAAAAATATAATCAAAATGAAGTGCAAAAATGGTTGTAGCCCATAATGGTTTAACAAAGTTAATCATAAAATTTTCAAAACTTCATCACTATAGTAAAATTCTATAAAAAGATAGATATGAGTGTCAAAGAGCACTAAAAATGTAAATCAGTGAAGTTAGTAATCAACCTACATGTGAATGTACCCATAAGGAATTACGATTAGTGAAAATTAAAAAAATAAAAATTGGATAACAGTAATATGTGGACTAAACCCATCTACTGTTAACTAACTGATTACCTGACTTCAGGAGCCCACAGCATGTTCATCTCAAATCACCCAAGTCTGCATGTCATGTATAAACAGGAATGACAACCATGCACACACAAACAAAGACAAACTTGTGTAACTCGAGATAGAGAGCTATGGAACCGACGAGGTGCGATATCACCCCCCTTTGGAAGTTGGTAAGTTGTTGTTGGTGGCATTGACCAAATTAGTGGAACCCTTGTGCGGTTTGATTTGGTAACTGTGGGAGATATAAGGGACCACCTTTCGTCAAACTTTTTGACAGGTCTATTTTTCTTTGACCTCATGATCTTGGCCCCCCTGCCCTAGCATAAATCAAATTGACAGGTGTATTGTTCATTGACCCGATTACCTTCAGTTCACACACACACACACACACACACACACACACACACACACACACACACACACACACACACACACACACACACACACAAGAGCACACACACACACACACACACACACACACACACACACACACACACACACACACACACACACACACACACACACACACAAGAGCACACACACACACACACACACACAAGAGCACACACACACACACACACACACACAAGAGCACACACACACACACACACACACACACACACACACACACACACACACACACACACACACACACACACACACACACAGAACTGAGTACTGAGCTTTTTTACCTGCTGGAGAGTGTTTATCAGTCTCTGATGCCACATTCCATCATTTTCTAGTTCTTCGTAAAAACTCCACGAGGTGTACTCAGCTGCTCTACTACAACAAAGAGCGGTGAACTGTGGAAAATTTCCAGTTCTGTCCTGACCTGAGCTGAGATTCTGCTCTGCTACTCTTCTGCACATTTCCGCGGTCACAATATCTCTGCGACTAAAGGCTCTCCTATTCTTTGTATTGGAGGGGGGAGTGATCCAGCACGCACACGCCAGTTAGAGTGGATCTATGGTAGAGAAAGCAGCATCCAAAGGAACAGGAAATACGTCACAAAACAATTTGGTTGTGGTTAGGATTGGGCATCGATTGGAAACAGGACTAAGTCTGTTTTTTTCCTGAATCGTTCAAAATTTTTATTTCAACTCCTAGTTTTGATTCCCAGGCTGTCGACTGGAAGAAGAATCTGCGGCCGACCTCCTTGAGAAAGACGTGGTCTGCAAATTCTGATCAATGCCTTTCAGAGCTGATCACAACAGCTGTCTGTTGCTGCTACCCAGCAGCCCACAGAGAGCCTCAGAGCAGCATCACACACCCCTCCATTGCCTCACACTACTCAGGCGTGCAGCGGAAACATGTAAGCAAACACGTCTGTCTAATGTTTACTCTGTGATAGGGGTTGCATGACTTAAATTTTTTTGAAGCCGACAGTCAAGTAATGAAAATCGAGTCGACTTCGACTAGTCGTTGATGACGTCATACACCTGAAGTGGCGGGGGGGGGGGGGGGGGGGGGGGGGGGTTCGCTGGAGTTTTTGACAATTAAAATTGCGCCCACATTTTCAAAGTTAAACACATTTCTTTTTAACAACGGTAGTTTCTGCTTCAGCCCTCTCCCCCCTCCCCCTGCGCAGCAGCCGCAAACTCACTGATGCGCCTGCAGCCTCTCAGAGTTCCTGCTGCTCTAAACATTAAAATAATTATTTCATTTTCTGTTTCTCACTTCTGATTACCTTCAATGGTGTCTGTTTGTTGCAACCAGCAGGTACAAAAACTAACTTGTTTTTATTTGACTATTTTTCTGTCCTGTCTGTTTATTATCTTCCTGCATCTCCTCTCAATCCTAAAGAAAAACTGCTACCTGGGTTCATATATATTCACCTCATGAGTTACCTTTGAACTGCAGTTCTAAAAGGTCTACTGACCGCAAAAACAGCGGAGTGCGCGCTGCTCGCCGGCCGACTACAACGGGGCCATTTTTGCTGCGGAGTTCGTGCCGGAGCGGAGTGGAGATAGTGGAATCTTGGGGGTGCGTCACCGGAGAACAGAACAGGTGAAGAGCCTCGCTCAGCAGCGAAACGCATCAGGCACAAATAACAGACAGAAAACATTAAAGGAAATGAGCCGACATGAACGATCACGTGTTTAATTTGTTTTTGAGGTGGTGACACCTGATTTGATAATGTTACTGTGGCCGTGCTCAGGACGCAGATGTCTGGAGCGCATCAACAATCAGAGCTTTGCATGCGCAAACTGGTTAAGATTAGGATGGGGGTGAGGGGAAGGTAAAATTGCAAGAGGGAAAAGGTCACAGTTTGGTTAAATGTCCGTTTTACCGCCGGTGTCAGTACCAACGCTCTGGCACAGCGCGTCGCCTCCGCCTCGATCCAGACATGCAGGGGCTCATCACCTGCTGTCTTTTCCGAGGACTGCATCTTGCCGGTCATTATCATGTGACAGCGACTAGTCGATGACAGGCATAAAAAGTCACTATAGAGCCGTGAAGTCGACTAGTCGACTAGTTCATACAAGCCCTACTCTGTGATGGAAACTTTGCATCCTGCAGTGAAAACTACAGCACGGTGGAGTTAGTACAAGTTTTAAAGAACAAACTCTGGGCGGTGTGAGGTGAGTTTGTCTCAGTGCAGAAATAAAACACACACGAGCATCAGCAGTCAGTCGCAGCCACGCACCAACACTCGTGTGTGTGAGTATGTGTGTGTGTGTGTGTGTGTGTGTGTGTGTGTGTGTGTGTGTGTGTGTGTGTGTGTGTGTGTCTCAGAAGGCTGAACAATGACCTGTAGAATAACTAAAGTCATCATGCTAGAGCAGCTTTCTCTGGGGTGGACCACACCAGTTCTGCCACCAGGAGCTGATGGGGATCAGAAACACATCGTCTCACAGCACACAAAGCTGTGAGGTCTTTAGTCTGTTGAGAGTTTTAACATTTTAAATCTGTTGATTTGAAACATCTGGACTTCCTGGTTATGTTGGAGACATTTAGCCCCAGAGGCTCCTTCAGGTTATGAAGCTCATTCTGTTTCAAAAAGCACAAACTTGTAGATCTGTTGTGTGTATTTGTACTACATGATGGGTGCTTGAAAACAGTGTGTGTGCGTGTGTGCAGTACAGTGTGAGGAGCTGTACACCAACACCCGTAAACCTGTAAAGCTAAATGTGTACCTGTAAGAAACACTCACATGCATGTGAAATAAAATACAGTTGTGTGTGACATTTTCAACTACAAGTCTGTAAACACAAGTGTACACATCTGTTTCTGCACACGCTCAACTTTTTTATTACAATTGCACAGCTTCCATTCTTTCGTTCTTTTTTAAACACAGAAACAGTTTTGTTTACCTGTTTGTAGCTACAGTTTTGCCGACGGCTGCCGGCTTCTTCAGATAAATGGTGAGATACACACAGCTGCAATTTGCAACACACAACCTGCCAAGAGTGTTTCAAAAGTCAGACTCGCGAGAGGAGAGTTGTGCGCTTGTAAAACAACAACTGAGCATGCGCAGAAACGTATTTGAGAAGTTGTATTTACTGGGTCGCAGAAGAAAAAATTACATGTAAGTTTATTTTGTTTCACATACAATTTACTTTTTCTTACAAGTACCATTTATCTTCACAATTTCACACATGTTGATGTGCAGCTTCTCACATTTTAATGCACAGACACTCACCTCAAAACTTCAAGCTCACATTTTATGGTACACACACTCACATCCAATCTTCAAGCCCACACTGTGTTGTATGGACTCAGACAACAAATTTACAAACTTGTGCATTTTGACACATAATTAATCGTGAAAATAGTTTCAAAAATCAGATGTGTGAGAGGAAAGCTGTGCAATTGTAATAAAAAAGTTGAGCGTGTGCAGAAACAGATGTGTGCACTTGTGTTTACAGACTTGTAGTTGAAAATGTCACACACAACTGTATTTTATTTCAAATGCATGTGAGTGTTTCTTACAGGTGCATATTTAGCTTTACAGGTTTACGGGTGTTGGTGTACAGCTCCTCACACTGTACTGCACGCACACACACACTGTTTTCAAGCACCCATCATGTAGTACAAATACACACAACAGATCTACAAGTTTGTGCTTTTTGAAACAGAATGACCTTCATACATAACAGCCGGCAACAACCAAGGCGTGTTTTTTTGAGAGATTAATTTTCAGTAACAGCAGCTCAAACAGTTTGGGCAAGGATTTAGACAACATGACTGAACATTGCAAATTGTCCTTACAGCAATCCCCTTTAAAATAATAGATTCAAATCTGTTTGTTTTATTTTATTATTAATGGTAATTACGTGGCTTTATGGTTACGTAGTTATTAATAATAAATAATCAAAAGAGAAGTAATTTTCTTACATTGAAAAATGAGCGATTTTTACTCTAATCAGCTGGTGGCGCCAATGTGCCACCAGTACAACTCAGGAAACGAAGAAGAAGAAGAAGAAGAACCATTGGAAGGGGGAAAAAAAGGAGAGGGTGTAGTAGTTTGGTTTACAACAAGCCGTTTTATTGATTCGAGATCTATAAATTACTGATAACATCAATCTGAGGTGAGTGAACATACGTTATTTATCCGCTCCGTTTATTTACAGTTTTCTCTCTGCGTTTAGCTTTCCTTTACTAGTTAGTTTTACGCTTTAGCATTAGACACTTCCGGTTAGCTCCCAAACTCGTCAAATGTTTATTAATATTAATCGTGATTCGGATAAATAGCAGAGAATAGCCAGTCAACAACAGAGCCCGATGGATTAAATAACTTGAATCAGGAGAAGTAACGCCTGAATGTTTAGAGAGTTCAGCTGAAACTCATCAGACTTTTTTCTGAGAGTGTTTATGTTATCAGGGTGTTTACAGCTCACACCGAAAGTTAGTTATCACACCGAGGGGCTGTTCGTTCGCTTCAGCCGTGTGGAGGTAACGCCAATATTCACAACTATTACATAGACCGAGCTCTACTTTTAGATGATGTCACAGTTCAGCCAACCTGGAACATTGATTGTAAAACATGTTAGAACATCTCAGAGCACTTTTCAAAACCATCAGCACCATTGTAAAACGCTGTGTGTTTCTCCAGATGGGTAGGTCGTTCCTAAGAAAGGAGTCATCGAAGCGAAAGAGTCATTAGAAGAAGTCCTGACATCATTGCGTAGTCACATAGTTCTGTCTGGGAGGGTTTACCAAGGCAAACAGTCAGATCCTAGAGCTATGAATGGATTAGACTTTATTGATCCCACAGTGCGAAAAATGTACATACAGCAGCACCAAGACTTAGAGAAAAGGAAGAAGAAAAGCAATAACAAGATTGCAGGTAAACACTCAAAGGCAGTAAGCTAGCATTGTAACCTTCAACCAATAAAAACAATGAATAAAAGAAAACTTGGGTTTCCAGAACTATTCAGCATGAGGGACACAGACATACATGTAAATCCGGTATTACACGAGTATTGAACACATACTGGGTATTGTTTTGGTGTTATTGTGTACCAGGATAATGCCAGTACCAGTTACACTGAGGAGTTGTACACCCTTACTGCAGAGGGGATGAAAGATCTATGGTAGCGTTCTGTTTTACATCTGGGATGTCTCAGTCTGCCTCTGAAGGAGCTTTCCATGGTCTCCACAGTGTAATGCAGTGGGTGGGAGGGGCTTTCCAAGATGAAAGTCAGCTTCACCAGCATCCTCCTTTCACGCATCTTAAATGAAAATGCCCCAAGCAGCACTACACACTGTTTACATGGCTATTATCCATTCAAGATGGCTCCTGCTGCACCTTGCTGTCGACTGCTCCTGTTTTGTCTATTAGTTTCATTTTTTGCATAACTTTTTTGTCTACTCGTATCCTAGAATTGTGTATGATCGACTTACCCTTCTTGACCTTCATTCGAGACTTGGATCTCTTCAGTTCCACACTCCGTCCTTCAGACTCTACTTTAGCCGCCTGTTTGATGAGGTCCCGGCATTCCTCCTCACTACTCAGGGCCTCGCTGGGTGCTGCTGGAGGCGTCGGGCATACAGGATGTGCCTGTTCAAGAGGGTTTCTGGGTGGCGATTGGAGGACTCGCCCTAGTATGATCTGACCCCACAGCCCCCTCTAGTGTTGTAGTCGGCGAGGTTTGGTTCCTACCAGCAGGAGCTTACATCAGATGTGCTGGCTGGGTGGAGTCGACTGTTGGAGCCTCACTTACCAGTGAGGTCTGGTGAGAGACAACCTGTCCATCTGTCCACACCACTGGCTGTGTCTTCTTTGCTGGTTTGGCTGCTCAATACTCGCTCGATTGGGAGTTAGAATGCTCTTCCGAAGGATTTTTTTCATGGTTTCGAAGGATTTTTTTCATGGTTTCAGCAATAAGTCTTCTCTGCTCGACTGAAATGTGAGTTGCGCTGGGTGGGTCCGCCTCTTTTGTTGAACTGTACCTGCCTGACTGTAAATAGACCATGGCTGTCGGGTCGCGGTAGGGGTCTGTTGGCGATATGTCGATCCTCTCTCCCACTGAAACCCCTCCCCTGTTTGAACTTGGCTGTTCACCAGCTAAATTATTTGTTCTGTGCTATAGACCACTGAGATATGGCAGTGCGTTTAAGTGGATTTATAGATCTTCTGTCAGATTACACAGCAAAGTATGTCCAGGTTGTTGTTCTGGGGGATTTTAACATCCATGTCTGCTGTCCATCAAAGCCATTGGTGAATGTCTTTATGGCGGTCCTGGACTCTTTCGGCCTTCAGCTGATGGTGGATGGTTTGACCCATGCAGGCTCTCATACCCTGGACCTGGTGCTCTCCTATGGAGTGAATGTGTGTGACCTGACTGTTGATGCTGTGGGCTTCTCTGACCACTCCTCTGGCACAGCCTCTCAGCCGCTGTCTGTTTTTGATGTTGACTCTCATCTACCTCCGGTTCTCTACAGAGTGTGGATAGCCCCCTCTGTCAGCTAAATGCTACCCGTTTAGCTGCTCTGGACTCTGTGATGCCTCTCAGGCAAAAACTGAAAAAGTGATTTCTGACCCATGGATAAATGATGACGTTTGGGTGCAGAAAACTGGAACGGAGATGGAAGGACAAGCTAACTGTCATGGCAAATTTTCAAGGAGTCTTTTGTTGTATCCAAGAACTATTAGGTTGACAAGAAATAGATTTTTCTGATGTCATTGTCCAGCGTAGAGGAGACCAGGCACAACTGTATGGTACCAGCAACATCTAATGAGCTATAGAGCTACTTGATCAGTAAGATTAATGGTGTTAGGCAGAGTCTGGTGCCTTCAGGGAAAATGCATGTGGCTTCCCCCCCCCCCCCCCCCCCCGCCCCTCCATTACTGCACACCTTGCCCCTGTGTTTCTCCATGACTGGGGGCGACGGTGGCACAGGAGTTAAGTGCTTGCCCCATAATCGGAAGGTTGCAGGTTCGAGCCCCGCTCAGTCTGTCGCTGTTGTTGTGTCCTTGGGCAAGACACTTAACCCACGTTGCCTACTGGTGGTGGTCGGAGGCACCAGTGCTCGGCAGCCTCGCCTCTGTCAGTGCGCCCCAGGGCAGCTGTGGCTACATCGTAGCTCATCCCCGCCAGTGTGTGAATGGGTGAATGACTGATTGTGTTGTAAAGCGCCTTGGGGGGTTCCAGGACTCTAGAAGGCGCTATATCAAATACAGGCCATTTACCATGACCTGGAAAAGCTCGTGAACTCTGTGAAACCAGTCAGCTCTATTAATGACTAGGGATGCACCAATGTATCAGCATTTGATCCCAATCGGCCGATAGCGCCCCTATCGGTTTTGATCGGAGTTTTCAAAATAGATCAAAGCAGACCGATCAGGTAGGGTTGTCACGATAGCCGGTGTAGCGGTAAACCCCGGTAAAAAAAGTTGACAATAATAACCGTCTTGTTTAAAAAAAAAAAACTATATTATCTCGGTGGGTTTACCGTGGCTGCGGTGTAGGCGCGGTGACCCTTACCAGCCACCGTATCATCTGCTGAAGTTGCCGGCGGCACATGCACGCTTTGTTGTTTACAGCCAAAACTTTCTTGAAGCTAAAGCTGAAATAATGGCCAAAGGAGGAGACGGCAGCGCTCAGAGGACATTTTTTATCCCTCAAAGAAGACAAAGTGGGAAGTACGGGCATTTTTTGGATATTTGAAGAATGCCGAGGGACAGTTGATAGAAAACGGCTATCCTGTTTGCAGCACGTGCAGAAAAAGTGTCTGTGAAAGGCAGCAACGCTTCAAATCTCATGACACATCTGCGTGACCATCACCCACAACTCTACAGTCAACGCAAGGCAAGCTAACGTCAGCGTTTTAGCTAAAATGCGTGATCCGAGGATTTGGGTTGAGGGAGAATGCAACGAGTCGTTATATAAAGCAGCCGCAGCGCCGCTACCTGCATATAAACCGTGTCGCGGACACCGCCATGTTGAAATGACGCTATGCATTACGGGGCTCCCAGGGGCAGATAAGAGCTGGTCTCTCTCCGAGAATAATTATGAATTTAACAATGATTACTGCCTGATGACATTTTCCCACATCTGCAAAGCTCACTGGAAGGACACAAACCGAGGACGATATTCTCCTGATCGGATTACTCAAGTAAGGGTAAAAAAAAAAGTATCTGATTAGAAGGCTACTTGAGTACTGAGTATCATCTGGTCTAATATTTTTAAAATGATGACATCAAACAGACATAAAATAAGAAGTTATGGGCAAATATTGGTATTTTAAAGACTAAAGGGGAAAAATGTTAACACATAAACAACATAATTACAAAATAACACATTTTAGGCAAAATTTAGACACAAACGGAGGACATTATTTCCTGACATACAGGGTTTATTTAATTGTGTGAAAATGTAGCACGTTTAAAAAAAATACCGCGATAATACCGAAAACCGTGGTAATTTTGGTCACAATAACCGTGAGGTTAAATTTTCACACCGTGACAACCCTAATACAGACCATTTTAGATTAGGTTACATTTCCTTTATTCCCAGATTATGTAGTTTGTAGCACTCATTATAATGTTGTAGAAAATTTCTGGCCAATCCACGTGATCGGTATCGGTGATCGGCAGCAAAAAACCTGATTTGTGCATCCCTATTAATGACTATCTGTCGCCATGATTGGAGCTTTTTCACGTTCTTGGTCCAGTAAAGCTGTGTGTGAAAAATATCGATATGGCAATATATCATGATATTTTTTCCTTATATCGATATTCAAAACCCGTGTATCTCATTTTTGGAAGAATTAAAATGCAAATATTAGTGTATTTTCTTTTCTTTTGGTGCAATTAAACGCTGACCGCTAGTTGGCAGCAGTGTGCAATGGTTTTTGTTTCCACAACTGAAATGTAAGTCCCTCTGTTATAGTTCAGATACCTCATGTTAAACATGTTATGTATCATTTTGGACTGTTTATTGAATTTTACAATAAATTCAGTCTAAAAACTCTTAATATCGTCTGGCTGAATGTATCACAATATATCGTATCGTCTCCCTGTATCGTGATACATATCGTACCGCCAACATTTCACCAATATGCATCCCTAGTCATCAGTCTCGGTGTGAAGCTGGCCGACATTACAGCCTTACGTACTGACACGCTCACTGAGGATGGCGGACTACATGTTGCTTTGCACACCCTCTGAACTATAAGATGGGGGGGGGGGGGGCGTGCTTTCGTGCATGCTGCAACTGTTCTCTGAAATGCTTTGCCTGTTGCGACCCGTCAGTCAACATCCATTGCAGCCTTCAAGTCCTGATTGAAAACCTACTTTTATGACTCGGCTTTAAATCAAGAATTAGTTCTTGTTAAATAATTTTTTAGTTGTTCTTATCTGTATTTTTACGAGGTTTTATTCATTGAGTAACAGCCATTTTGGCTTTGCTTATTTTTATCTTTAGCTTATTTTTATGATATGATGAATGTTTTTAGTACTTCCTGTTCTATATGTAAGGTGCTTTGGTCAGCTATCATGTTGTTTTGGAAATGCACTTGATAAATAAAGTGGTATGGTATTAGAAATGTGCAGCTAAGTTACACGTTGTTGTATTTATTCAGGTTATTGAGTACATCACAGTAAACATGTACATTTCACATGTTTACTGCAGGTGTGCTTTGTATTTCTAACTTGTTTTCAACGTGCAAAAGCCCAAACATCTGTTCAGCAGAGGCATGAAACCGCCTTTGGGTAACGCTGCACAGCTGTAAAAGCTACTGCAGCACTTCCAGACCTGTGTGTGTTGGACATCATCAACCTCATCAAAAGAGCATCAATTCTTCTAGGTCAGCGAACATCAACTGGCCCGCCAGACCTTTCTGCCCAGCCCCCCAACCTTTTGGGTCCTAATGCATCCCAATTTGGCAACTTAGAAGTTTATCTGCAAAAATCATGTCTCAAATATCAATAATTGTTTATATTCTCCAAACACGATTAAAACTACAATCAAAGCAGTTTAGAAGGAAAACAAAGGTGTTGAGGGCATCCGTTTTGGTGGCTTACGGGTCAAGTCTCTGCTTTTTGCAGATGATGTGGTCCTGTTGGCTTCATCAGAACGTGATCTCCAGCTTTTGCTGGAGCGGTTTGCAGCCGAGTGTGAAGCAGCTGGGATGAGAATCAGCTCCTCTAAATCTGAGACCATGGTCTTGTGTCAGAAAAGCGTAGAATACCTTCTCCAGGTCAGGGACGAGGTCCTGCCCCAAGTGGAGGAGTTTAAGTATCTCAGGGTCTTGTTCACGAGTGAGGGAAAACTAGAGCGTGAGATCGATAGGCGGATTGGTGCTGCGTCTGCAGTGATGCGGGCGTTGTACCGGTCTGTTGTGGTGAAGAAAGAGCTGAGTCAGAAGGCGAAGCTATCGATTTACAGGTCGCTCTACGTTCATACCCTCACCTATGGTCATGAGCTTTGGGTAGTGACCGAAAGAACGAAATCGCGAATACAAGTGGCAGAAATGAGTTTTCTCCTCAGGGTGGCTGGGCTCTCCCTTAGAGACAGGGTAAGAAGCTTGGTCATCCGGGAGGGGCGCGGTGTAGACCCGCTGCTCCTCCACATCGAGAGGAGCCAGTTGAGGTGGCTCAGGTATCTGGTTAGGATGCCTCCTGGACACCTCCCTGGTAAGGTTTTCTGGGCACGTCCAACTGGGAGAAGACCCAGGACAAGCTGGAGAGACCATGTCCCACGGCTGGTCAGGGAATGCCTTGGGATTCCCCTGGAGGAGCTGTCCCAAGTGGCTGGGGAGAGGGAAGTCTGGGCCTCCCTGTTTAGGCTGCTGCCCCCGTTACACGACCCCAGATAAGCAGATGGAGAACCGGCTTCATGGTAGAACTTCTGGTGTTAATTGCCAGAATCTCTGCGCGTCCAGTTCTAACAGAAACATGTTGTTCTGATTGTGTCTGTGTGTGTTGCAGATGTACTACTATCGCTATGACAACCCTGAGGTCAGCTGCTGCTACAAGTATCTGATGTTCAGCTACAACATTATCTTCTGGGTGAGTGCTGATGCAGCTGTCAGGTTTTAGGTTTAGAACACGATCATTTTACAAATCAACAGGAAATTCTTTCATATGTGTTTAAAATGATAAGTCACTAGTTTGAATGCTGCTTACAGCATTCAAACTAGTGACCCTGTCTCAGATTCCGTGCAAGCTTTAGGCTTCTTCAAATTTTCAGCTATTTGAACAAATTTTATATGAATACGTTCAGCTGGTTCTGCTCTTTACGGGTATGACTTTTGGTATTAAATGAGTTAATACTTTACATTAGATATTCAGCTTTTTTGCCATTTCCTCCTATTGAAATTAATGGAACGTGCTTCAAATTGCTCCATTTTCTTTCTTTCTTTCCCAGCTGTTTGACCTTTAACCCTGTAGGTTTTACTTTAACCTGGAGACTTCATTCAAAGTTTAATGGTTCCGTATGATGTTATTTTAACCGTTTGAGAACAAAGGTAGGCACAATATATGATGCAATTTTACCGTTGTTGGCACTATTCAGATGTCACCTATCAAAAAAATTTGTTATTTTCGTTAATTCTGTTGTTTCGCATGCTGACTGTTTCGCATGTCGGACAGTTGAATGAAACAGAGTCTGACTCACTTCGGTAAGATTTAAATAACATGAAAGCTTCAAAAGTTTTGTTTTGGATGTACATTGTACATTTTTTTAAACATATTTTCGCTTTTATAAAAGAGAGATTTAATGTTATGCCTGAAAAAGTGTTTTAATTTTATTTATGCATTTATGTCTATACTGAATGCACACGGTGCCTAACTGGTGTTAGACAGGACATTTTTATTTACTTTTAGTATGAATTGGCCTATCTGCAGCAAAGTTCAATAAAATATGCATTTTCCATTCAAGGACCCATCTTTCTTGTGTTTATTATCATTTTTCACATAATCAAAGCAATCTCATGCTAAATTTAAGAAAAATTTAATAATTATCCGATTAGTCGACTAATCGTTTCAATAGTCTGTGACTAGTAGACTATTAAAATAGTCATTAGTTGCAGCCCTAATGGCGTGACTTCAGTCACCTACTTAGAGAGCTCTCTGATTGGTTAAAATTTTGTGCCTTTTTGCTCACTGTCATCTCATAGGAACACATTATAAACAAACTCCATTTTATTTTGTCAAAACTGTTTTATACTCACATTTTTAACTCATTCGTTCATCGGTCCCCACGCACACCCATCACTTTGTCCAACTACACGTCTACCAGTCCGTCAATCCGTCAAACACGCGTCCATAAGTCTGTCGATCTGCCCATGTTTCCAATAATGGGTTTGTTAGTCTGTCCATCCTTCCAACCAATTATTCATCATACCCACCATCCATCCAACTACTTGTCCATCAGTCCGTCTACACATCTAAATACACATCCGTCCGTCCATCCATCCATCCAACTACTTGTCCATCATTCCATGCTGTAGTTCTTTTTTAAAACACAGAGCAGTTTTGTTTACCTGTTTTCCCGCTATGTTTCGTTTGCAGCTGCAAACTTTCTCAGGCTGACGCTGATGGTGGCGTCACTTCCGCCACCATCAGCGTCAGCCTGAGGAAGTTTGCAGCTGCAAACGAAACATAGCGGGAAAACAGGTAAACAAAACTGCTCTGTGTTTTAAAAAAGAACTACAGCATGGAATTAGAGATACGACACAGCAAGAACACACCTAAGATGTTCAAAGAAAAATACTTGTCCATCAGTCCGTCTGTCCATCCATCCAACTACTTGTCCATTAGTCCGTCCACAAATCTAAACACCCATCCATCCATCCATCCATCCATCCATCAAACACACACACACACACACACACACACACACACACACACACACACACACACACACACACACACACACACACACACACACACACACACCCACCCACCCACCCATCCAAGTACTTGTCCATCAGTCCGTTCCAGCATAAATCCATCTCTCTCTCTCAACTTTCTTCACATTAATTTATAACTGTTGACTAAGACTTTAGTGTTTTGAGTTTATTACTCTACAATAGGGCTGGACAATATTGAAAATAAGCATATCAATAAAAAAAGTCCATATCGATTAATTTAGATAATTATTGAAATATGTTTTTAAAAAGAAGCTGTAGAAAATATATCATAAGTGCGGCCCAGTTCAATAAAGAACAGACAAAAACTGACTATTACATTCATTACTTTATTTAAACATCTTTATTTTGAATCGGAATGTCTTCTCCAGGTCAGGGATGAGGTTCTGCCCCAAGTGGAGGAGCTTAAGTATCTCGGGGTCTTGTTCACGAGTGAGGGAAAGCTGGAGAGTGAGATCGATAGGCGAATTGGTGCTGCGTGTGCAGCGATGCGGGCGTTGTTCTAGTCTGTCGTGGTGAAGAGAGAGCTGAGCCGGAAGGTGAAGCTCTCGATTTACCGGTCGATCTACGTTCCTACCCTCACCTATGGTCACGAGCTTTGGGTAGTGACCGAAAGAACAAGATTACAGATTCAAGCGGCCGAAATGAGTTTTCTCTGCAGGGTGGCTGGGCTGTCCCTAAGAGATGGGGTGGGAAGCTCGGTCATCCGGGAGGGGCTCAAAGTAGACCTGCTGCTCCTTCACATCAAGAGGAGTCAATTGAGGTGGCTCGGGTGGCTGATTAGAATGCCTTCTAGACGCCTCCCTGGTGAAGTTTTCCGGGCACGTCCAACCGAGAGAAGGCCTAAAGGAAGACTCAGGACACGTTAGAGTGACTATGTCTCTCATCTGGTTATGGAACACCTTGGGATTCCCCCAGAGGATCTGGCCTAAGTGGCTGGAGAGAGGGAAGTATGGGCCTCCATCAGGCTGCTGCCCCCGTGGAATGAACTAGGAACGAACAATTTAAGGAAAAGATTGAATTGTGTTTGTTTTTCTAGAAGAAATTAAGATTTCAATTCAAACCAAGGTTCAACTATATCACATTATTAACGATATTTAGTTATATTTACGTGTGTGTGTGTGTGTGTGTGTGTGTGTTTTCAGCTGGCAGGAGCGGCCTTCATCGCTGTGGGTTTCTGGGCCTGGAGTGAGAAGGTGAGTGAACCCGATCCACAACATCATCTTCCATTCTGGACTCATTCTGACGGGCAGACTGTAAACGATTAAGCTCCTCTGGTTCTGTTCTGAAGGGAGTCCTATCCGACCTGACCCAGGTGACCCGGATGCACGGTTTTGACCCAGTCTGGTTGGTTCTGGTTGTTGGTGGCATCACCTTCACCCTGGGTTTTGCAGGCTGCGTTGGAGCTCTAAGAGAAAACATTTGTCTTCTCAAGTTTGTAAGTTTCTGGTCCTGAGTTTGTTTAGATCTTCTTCTCAGCCCACCGTTGTTTGAATGGAGAGTCAGTTAAGCCTGTAGCAGCATAACTAAAGGGATGAGCCAGGGCAACCCGGTGTGTCCTCCTGCAGTCTAAGCCTTGATTCTGTGTTCTTGCTCAGTTTTCAGGCGTAATTGGCCTGATCTTCTTCCTGGAGCTGACTGCAGCCATTCTGGCCGTGGTTTTCCGGACTCAAGTTAAAGATTGGATCAATGACTTCTTTCTACAGAACATCAAGGCGTACAGAGATGACATCGACCTGCAAAATCTCATTGATTCTCTGCAGAAGATGGTACCACTCCTTAGTTCTTACAGATTGCGATAGACATCAGACCTGAACGTGATCACACATTCTCTCTGAACAGAACCACTGCTGTGGCGCTCAGGAACCAGACGACTGGAACACAAATGTTTATTTCAGCTGTAACGACACCAACCGCAGCAGAGAGAGGTGTGGCGTTCCCTTCTCCTGCTGCCTCGCTGATCCTGCTGTAAGTACGGGTCTGTAAGGACTGGTGCTGATCAGAACTCTCATGAGTAAAACTGCCTCTGCCTGCTCTGTCAGGAGTCTGTGGTGAACACGCAGTGTGGCTACGATGTACGAGCGAGAGATAATAAGGTGAGCTCATTTTCTCCAGGTGACATCAGCAGATGTACCTGATGTTCTGATGGTTCTGTAGAATCGGCTGTTCCTGTGAGAACATTAACGTTCTGGTGTTCTATGTTTGTGGACAGAAGGAGTGGAATAGCGTCATCTACGTTAAAGGGTGCATGGCAGCGCTCGAGGACTGGTTACCCAGAAACCTCTACACTGTCGCCATCGTCTTCATTGTCATCTCACTGCTACAGGTATCAGAACTTTTACTGAACCTGCACTGTAGAACTAAATCCAGATGATTCCATCAAAGACGTGTGGAGTGGTTCTGCCAACAACATAACACAAGATCAGTGGATCTGTTGGTTCAGTTCAGCAGCAGGAGACCCACAAACCTCTCGGGTCCAAGTTGTTTCATGTTAACCTGAAAACCTTTAAAAATACACATGGAGGCGGGGCTTCGGTGTACCCCATGAATGGTGTTGTTTCCATCCAGGTAATGGCACACTCCCACACAACACGGGAGGGCAACATGACCCTCTGCAGCCATCATCCAGAGCTGTAGCTCCACAGTTTAAGCTAACAAGATGATATTACAACTTTACATCTTCTAGCACGTATTTGTGCAGATGATCAAAAAGCTACTTCAAACCAGATTTGTTTGACATAGCTAACAGGCTGTGTGGGTGACAGTCTTTAGAACCGGCCACTAGTGCGGGTGGGATGTTCACAATTATGTGATTACCATGTCTGGACTCTACACAGCTGAACCAACGAAGGTGTAACCAGGCTAATGTGGAAGAACCGGCGTGACACCGTTCATCTTTGGAGATGTTCGGGGGTAGATATCTGATATCTTTGTAGTCCTCGTAGGCATGTTTCATCTGGGAGAAGAACGAGGCTCTGTCCTTTCCTTCCACTCTCATTTATCTAGCATCGATTAATAGAGTCTGCCTGCGTGAGCCTCGCTCGCTGCCTCTCTCTTTACTTAGAGAGAATTGAATCCACCCGAGCTTCGTTGGTGCTATCGTCAAACCCCTTAGTGAACGGGTGATTTGTGAAGCAGTGATTTATCAGGATCAGGATGTTCTGAGCTCGCTACGTGGTAAACCCAACAGATGCGCCGCTTATTCTGACAAGCAACAGAAACTCGTAGCGGCTGTCAGGAGGGACAGTTTATAAGTACGTAAATAAATAACCTTTATGTATTTGACATACCTGATGAGCTCAGTAAACGCCAAACGAACAACACAAAAGGCTTAATTACAGAACACATTTAGTGTTATTATGTAACCCGGTTACAAATGGGGGATCGAGCCTTTACAGCCGCGGCCCCCGCACTAAACATCAGGAACGCCATCTCTCTCACTTCCTTCAAATCACTGCTCAAAACCCACTTCTCCTCCTCTGATCCTGCCCCAGCGCGCCCCCAGTTCTGTTGGTTATTTTACGTTCTGTTTCATTAAGTGTTTATTGCCTTTGAGTGACCTAAAAAGTTTTTACATAAGTTTGATGTATTATTATTATTATTATTAATAAACGCATACGAGTCATTAGATGGCTGTGACGTGTTCGTGCCTGGACATGTGGGGCAGATATTTAATTTTTTGATTCTGTCATGAGACCTTGGCTCCAACAAACTATTTATGGCTGTTAGCCGTCGTCTTTGGCGTATTTTATCAGCTGCTGAGTTTCACCGTCCTCCTTTCATCTGTGTGTGCAGCCTATTTATAGACAGCTGACGGAAAACAACAGTGGTGCTGGGTGGGGGTGCATTGTCTTCTTGCCTCCCAGCCAGAAGCTGGGGGTGGGATCTTGAGCGTGTGACATCACGTGAAATGGCGGGGTTCCCTTGGGAGGCGGGGCTTCCATAAATAGTCATGATAAATATTGATATTGGCTGGTATGAAAAATTGCATTATGATGTCATCGATAGGGAGCCAAAGGCTCCTCCCCTTCGGTCAGCTCATGGGTCCCTGAACGGGCCAATAGAAACTATTCATTAGCCTTCAGACGTTTAGTACTTCAGTATAAATCTGCCTGTGTGGTAAGTAGCAGCTATGCTGCGAGACGAGAAATTCTGATTTGTAGTCATTTTATTACCGACTTTTTACAAGCGGACACATCTCAAAGTACGTGACAGACATGGTCAAAACTCACATCGTTCCTTTTCATGAAATCCTCCCGGAAGAAGGATTCGAAGCTCTAAACGTCTCCACTTCTCAGTGTCTGGTTTGATGACAACAGTTTGTTGAGATGAACATTTGTGGTCCTACGCGTCTTTTAACACAAAACATTAAATCAACTTTGCTGCCATTAGAAAAGCACCTTCCTGGCATCAAAATGTGGCTTTAAAGTCGAGGAACGTCACACGTGAAGTCCACGGCACATCTCAAACGGGGTCAGAAAATAACTCTTAATGGCCTTGCCGATTAAATGAAGTTCTAGGGACCCATGGTTCAGGACTTATAAATAATACATATATAATATAGCACCAAAGTCTGTCTACCCACCTGCTGTCTCTGTTTCTCTCTCTGGAACCAGATGGTTGGGATCTACTTGGCCAAAACTTTGATCTCTGACATCGAGAAGGTCAAATGCAGACGCTGAGGCCTCTACCTGAAGAGGGCGGAGCTCAAACCAGGTGTTACAGGAACAGGCTTCGGTTGTTGGATGTGCCTTCATCTTCTTGATGTCATCAGCAGACTTCCTGTGGTTGCTATGGTTACCGGAGGAGTGTCAAACTGAGAATGTTGGTTGGTTTTCTGTTGTTCTTTAGTTTGTTTGGTGTCATGTGACTGCCTTTACTTCTGCTACCGTTTAACGGCTGTTTTCACCTCAGAGGCCTTTCTGCTTGCTCAGTCCTCTGACTGCAGTTATTGGTCCCATCTGTTATTAATCTTTAGTTAACAAAATGTAAAAGTATCCCCTCTGACCAGTCCTGTTCCCAGACGGGCACTGGTCCCAGTTTGGTTCCATGCTGGGCTGCAGACTGATTCTGATGACCGAGGCTCAAACTGCAGGTTTAAAGAGGAAAGCGTGTAAATGTGAATATTGAAAACTTTATTGACACTGGAAAGGGGGTTGAAGAAGTAAAAATAAAGTTTTGTTTGGAGGGTGAATGAAAACTGCTTCTGGATGTTGAGTCAGCTGATGAGTGATTGAACTTTATTATGAAGGGACTCATTTTTATACGTGAATTTTTATCTTTTTATATTCAGTGTAATAAAATTGAACTTTGCTTTCTTGTCTTGTGTTTTATTATCACCGCTCAAACAGCCTGATTAGTCCATTATTCTTCGTCTTTGATCTTCAAACCGTTTAGTCTTGTACGCCGCCAGGGGGCGCTGCCGCCCGCCTCCTGTCATAGAATGTCCAAGTAAGGTCCCGCCTTTCTCGCCTCTGATTGGCTGTGATTGGTTATTTCAAGTCAGGTGAAACCGTCTGCCTTGCTGCAGGGTTTTTATATTTATAGTCAGATCTTGGGGAGTTTTTTAAAGAAAATGTGAACTCATCGCTATAATAACCAATCCGCCCTCTTTTGCAACAGACCAGTTCGCTTCTTTTATCAAAGAACGTGAAAAACATCAAATGTGAGCTTGCTGCATTTATCACACTGACTATCTGTTGGCCCTACTGAGGCTATTACTTAATTATGACACTATCTTATGTCTTCACTTTATAATAAGTTTCATTTAATCTAAATTTCATTCAAAGCTGGTTATGATTTAGACCAGTTTTCTGCGTTCTAGGAGAGAAACTGAGCAGCTGCACACAGCTGGGCTGTTCTATTAGAATATAACAGTTTTATTATAGTTCATACCAGGTAAGGCACACCTGTGTTGATCCTATGTACTCGGCTTTAATAAGATAATCTCAATGAGCCGACAGATATAACTGTATTATAAATGTAATAAGATTTATTATATTTATGTAACCAGAAAGGCTCCATTGAGATTAAACACCTCATTTTCAAGGGAGTCCTGGACAAGAGGCAGCAAAAGTTAGTAACAAACTTTTCAGTTACACAGATTTACGTACAAAATGACAGAAGGCAGTTACAACACAGGGGATCCGTCTGAAGGTCTCAGTCTGCTTTTAGCTTTTAAATGACTACTTCCTGTAGTCTGTTCCATATAAGTTCACATTTTTACGTTTTTTTTAAATAAACGTTTAATGTGGGCGGGGCCTTGATTGGTTCCTCCCCCCAGGGTCTCTCGGTCCCTCCCCCGGAGGCGGAGCACACGGAGTCGGAAACGCGCAGTAGAGTCGCGGCTCTTTGCATTTCTCGAGCGGCTGGACGATCCGGAGTCTTCCTCGTTCAGCCCGCAGACAGGCGGCTGATCTTCGGCCTCGTGCACGGACCGATCCCGCGGAAAGCGTTCCAGAGACCGACCCGCGTGGACTCTGTAGTTCCTGGGCCCAGCTGAGGTGGAAAAGACGGACAGAGGCCCGCGGTGTGCGCGCAGCCTCCTGCAGGCCTCCGGCCCGGACTCCCGCCTTTATCCAGAAAAATGGACGGATTTACCGGTAGTTTAGGTGAGTCCCGACCGCCCCCACGGCCGAACATCACCTGCTAACTTATCCGCGCAGTGGCGCGAACCCGAGGGTCACACGCGCCTCGGGCGGCTTTACACGTGTCACTGCTGTTTTTATCAAAAAGCCCCTGCACCGCCCCTCCGGCGGTCGTGGGGCAACAAAACCAGCCGCTATGCTCACTAGAAGTGATGCGGAGTTGTGGACCCTCACTTTCTCTGGACCCGGGTGTAGTCGCACGTGTGACTTTTGACCTGAGATCTGTATCTGCTCTTTTATTGACCAGGGCTGGTACCTATAAGTGCATAAACGTCACGTGCACACCTGTTACTGACTAACGTGCACGTTCAGCTCTTGTGAAATAAACTCACCTAAACGTCAATGTTGATTGATCACGTGCAGTTTGATGTTTGATCAGAAATCTGAACCCGATCGCAGGAGGAGCTTCGCCTTCTAAAAGGAACGACCACCCAGGAACCTAATCCGAACGGATCCAGTCACAAGTGCTATGAGAGCATCACTAAGTTCCCCAAAACTTCTGACTAACGGCCTATTTTATCCGGTTTACCTGTACTGTTTGTCAGTGAACGTCTCACCTTGGATTCTCTAAGCCTAACCTGAGGTCCTATGTTTTTTTATTGGGGTCCCGCCCACGTCTCACCTTTTTCTGACTGGAGGCCAGAAGGTTCAGAGAGAAAACAGTTTAGTGAATTTCTGCATCACCATGGGAACACTTTCTGAATACTGCAAGTGTTTTCACATCTGTGAATCAAATCCTGGTCTGGGTTCTTCAGTGTTTAATGGAACAAAGGAACCGCACTGAAACCTGCTGGAGGAGGTGGTCCGGAGGGGTTCCTTTATAGCAGGCCTGGGGAATCCTGGTCCCACAAGAGCTGCTATCCAGCATATTTTAGTTGTTTCCCTGCTTCAACACACCTGGTTTAATAAGCAAGTGATTTACAGGCTTCTGCAGAGGCTGCAAATGTGATTCAACCTCTAAATCAGGTGTGTTAGAGCAGGGAAACAACTAAAATATGCTAGTTCCCAACGACCAGGACTCCCCACCCCCGCTTCTTGGTGTGAATGTGACCTGACCTCGATTTGACACAAAAACCAGTTGTACACTGCTGTGAGTTGCAGGCGTTGGAGTCCTCTGGCTCTGAAAGGTGCTATACAACTAGGGCTGCCACAAATGACTGTTAGTGGTCGACTAATCGAGTCATTCATAAAAGTTTAGCTTATTGCACCAGGACGCTCTAATATACCATCATTAGCTTGCCATCTAATCATAAAGACAAGATGGTTGCTTATCAACAACTTTAATTAACTTTGTAACCTGTTAATACAAATGTTAGTCAGATGGAGGTAGGCACCTAAAACCAAACATGACTTGTGTTCACAAGAGGCATGGTGGCAAGGTTGTAGTGCTTCATCTTCCAATCTTAACTCAGGAAATAGCGGGACACACCAAGGTACGCCTCTGTAGCACGGCTGGTCCACACGTCAGCAGTCAGGGACCATCGACAGCTCAGAGGGTCTGCTTTACCGTAAAGATAAAAGATATTAAAGTTAGTTAATTTACCACATTAATAATTCTGTTTAGAGGCCGACCGATATGGGTTTTTTAAAGGCTGATACCGATTTTTCATGCATTTTGTTCCCGATGGCCGATATCTGAAGCTTTCTTAAGTCTAGCACTGGTGGCAGTTGACCACGCAGGTGCCCAATGTTTTTAATCAGCCTTTTAAAATAATTTTGGCCTATGTAGAAAATAATTGAACAATTCGACTCGATATATCGGTCGGCCTCTAATATAAATGAAATGATTAAGTATTTTTTGCACTTCAAATATAAAACAAACTCAAAACATTTTTAAAACGTGTGTTGGGGTCCTTCGGGTCCTTTCTTCAGTCTAGCAGTGGTGGCAGTTGACCACGCAGGTACCTGATTTATTATTTTTTTATCTGCTTTTGAAAATAATTTGGGCCTATGGTCGATATAGGAAAAAATTGAATGTATCGGCTGGCCTCTAATTCTGCTATATCAAGTAAAGTAGGTTACGATTTAACACAAAGAAAATGTTTTATGCTTAAAAAATATTAGTTTCTTGATTGTTCAGTCAGCAACCTTTTTATTTGATCATAAAATGCATTTTATTCTAATGTTTATTTTATTTGTGTCCAGAGAGAAACACACAGACATGTCGTGCGCACGCACGCACTTTAAAGCCCCAGTGTATGAAATTGTTACCTGTTTACCATCAAGTCCTGTGTTTCCAGTTCACAAACTTGTCCTTTTTCACTAATATTTCTCACCAACATCAATTCTAAATATTCCTCTCAACTTTAAATCATACATTTTTAAATACCATCTTGAAATACAGTATCTGTTTAGGGACATACGAGCTCCACTTACCTGTTTGGACTATGACTGTAACCTGAAAGAACCAGCAAAGGGCAGTAGTGCGCCCTGGAAGCATGGAGTCTGCTACACCGTTGCTGTACTTGTTTGAATAATATACAATTAAGTCAAAAGACATGTAAAATTTGTCAGTTCGTCAGCATGTCCAACACAAGGAACTTTAATTAATGTTCAGATCCCCGCCCGCTATTAGCTGGACGCCAGCCTCCGATTAGTGTCCCTGACTCCCAAACGCACCTCGAGTTGTTCATTCGTCTTTTCCTCGTACCAGAACTCCTGACACGGTCCCAACGTGTCTGTTCCAAAGTCCTTCTACTCAAGTCTCCTCACTTCCTGCTGCCTGCCGTCTCTCCCAACACGCTCCAGTTTTCCACGCGTTACTGAGACGCTCCGACTTAGAGGGCTTCTTCTCAAACGTTTCCTTTAGACTTTGGTCTCCTTTTGCTGGTAATTCGTGGGAGTTTACACACAGCGTCTCCCCGGCTCTAGCCATGGCTAACTAGCAGCTCATGACGCCCAACTCCACCACGCCAGCCGTGAGCCACGATTAGCTGGTGACTAAGTCAGCATTGTTTACTTGATCTGCACAGCGTGTCCCCGGCTCACCAACAACACTCCTTCACCAGCCGTAGTTAACGAGCAGCCAGTGGTCGCTCCATATCCATACAAGCTGGTAGCGGCAGCCGGTTTGTTTACATCGAGGCACCGTGATCCACGTGAAACGGGTGTTGTGGGAAATTATGTTCGCCTTAAATGTTCTGTTTCCCTTAGGCAAATATTTCCACATTCACAGAACTTATTGTCCATTATGAGGACTAAACCACCTCAAATTAAAGATCGTTAAACTGAGTGAGATCACATCTTTTTACATAACTTTCAAAAATGATAAATAAGCTTCCTGCAAAAGAGTGAACAAAAATATTTTTACTGTGTCTTTTTTTTGTTTTTAGGAGGAAATATAGATAAAAAAAATCACAAGCATAACATTATTACATTGCATTACATCATTTTACAGTAAAAGTTTATCACAAATGTTGCTAGTTAATCAAACTCATGAGTGAGCCACTGTAGCTGCAATACTTTCTCTGAACTGCATGGTGCTAAAGAGTCATTTTTTCATCATGATTTCAGTGGATTTCACACATGGGGCCTTTAAAGGGTGTTACATATTTCTTTTCCATCATGGTGGTGAAATGAGATTGGCCTGGTTGGTAGTTTTAGTGGTATCTGTGGTTGAGCTGCTTGATCATTGCTTTGAAATCTGTGATACCTTTCTTTTGTCTTTGTATTATGCTCCTACACTTTTGAGTAGGGATGCACCGATCAGATTTTTTTCTGCCTATCACCGATACCGATATCAAAGAATGCTGATCACCGATACCGATCACGTGGATTGGCCAGAAATTTTCTACAACATTATAATGAGTGCTACAAACTACATAATCTGGGAATAAAGGAAATGTAACCTAATCTAAAATGGTCTGTATTAGGGTTGTCACGGTGTGAAAATTTAACCTCACGGTTATTGTGACCAAAATTACCACGGTTTTCGGTATTATCGAGGTATTTTTTTAAACGTGCTACATTTTCACACGATTAAATAAACCCTATATGTATATGTCAGGAAATATTGTCCCCAGTTTGTGTCTAAATTTTGCCTAAAATATGTTATTTTGTAATTAATTATGTTGTTTATTTGTTTACATTATTTCCCTTTAGTCTTTAAAATACCAATATTTGCCCATAACTTCTTTTATGTCTGTTTGATGTCATCATTTTAAAAATATTAGATCAGATGATACTCAGTACTCAAGTAGCCTTCTAATCAGATACTTTTTTACCCTTACTTGAGTAATAAACCCTTTATCAGGAAAATATTGTCCTCGGTTTGTGTCCTTCCAGTGAGCTTTGCAGACTTGGGAAAATGTCATCAGACAGTAATCATTGTTAAATTCATAATTATTCTCGGAGAGAGACCAACTCTTATCTGCCCCTGGGAGCCCCGTAATGCATAGCGTCATTTCAACATGGGGGTGTCCGCGACACGGTTTATATGCAGGTAGCGGCGCTGCGGCTGCTTTATATAGCGACTCGTTGCATTCTCCCTCAACCCAAATCCTCGGATCACGCATTTTATCTAAAACGCTAACGTTAGCTTGCCTTGCGTTGACTGTAGAGTTGTGGGTGATGGTCACGCAGATGTGTCATGAGATTTGAAGCGTTGCTGCCTTTCACAGACGCTTTTTCTGCACGTGTTGCAAACAGGATAGCCGTCTTCTATCAACTGTCCTCAGCATTCTTCAAATATCCAAAAAATGCCCGTACTTCCGACTTTGTCGTCTTTGAGGGATAAAAAATGTCCTGAGCGCTGCCGTCTCTTCCTTTGGCCATTATTTCAGCTTTAGCTTCAAGAAAGTTTTGGTTGTAAACAACAAAGGGCGCATGTGCCGTCGGCAACTTCAGCAGATGATACTGTGGCTGGTAAGGGTCACCGCGCCTACACCGCAGCCAAGGTAAACCCACTGGGATAATATTTATTTTTAAAAACAAGACGGTTATTGTTATTGTCAACTTTTTTTACCGGGGTTTACAGCTACACCGGTTACCGTGACAACCCTACCTGATCGGTCTGCTTTGATCTATTTTGAAAACTCCGATCAAAACCGATAGGGGCGCTATCGGCCGATTGGGATCAAATGCCGATCCATCGGTGCATCCATACTTTTGAGCTCTTTAGTCTACTCTCCATGTCTTCTTTCTCTGGACACCAAGGTTGAGCTGGATGGCCACTACGTGGCAACCGATCCGGATAGCGACTACTGCATGTGCGTTGAGCAGATTGGCAGGAAGCAACCGCTGAATGTGCCACAGCAGGAGAGATAAAAAAAAAAGTTTATAAAATAAATTTATTTAATTTGCCTATACGTTTATAGTAAAATAAATGCCATAAATGGAAAGACACCTGCTCAAACAATTAGTTTTTCTCACCTATGCTTTTTCTTTTTTCCCCACAACAACAAAACAAAAGCGCTAACCTAATGGGGGGTGCAAATTCAATTGGCACAACATTCAGTGACCTGCATCTATGAAGGGGTCCCACGCGTAAACACGCTGTCAAGAACAAGAATGATTGAAACCAGAAGGCACTGGAAGGAGGCTCAGGAGATTTCCACTGAAGCAATAAACAGTGCCTGGCCAAAAGTAAAGGCCAGTATTCTAGAATGAGTGACTGGACCCAAAAATGGCTAGGAAGGGGTTCATGCAAACACGAGTGCTGAGAGCACCGGAAAGGATGGTGTAAAACCAGCTCCAGAAGCCAAAAACGTTACACCGAACCCTTGTTCCCATACTCATAACTGCGACCACTGACTGCTCATTAGGGCTGCACATCTTTCTGTGGTAAAAAATTCGGTATGCTTCTAGATTTACTGGTTACAATTGTTATGTCCTTTTATTAATGACCGATTATATTCAAAGCAACTTGATTCGAATACACTGTGAGAACAAAACTATTTGATTCTACAGATATTTTTTGTAGCTTTCTTATAAAATAAAGATGCCAGTTTGATTATTCTCTTTTCAAATATGGAAAAGACCAACTATACCAAAACATAGTGGCCATGGCAAAAGAAAAAAATGTACCAACAAAGAGTGGATGAATCTAGGGCTGCAACTAACGATTATTTTCATAATCGATTAATCTGTCGATTATTTTTTCGATTAATCGATTAATCGGTTTGTTATTGTTTAGCTATTTAACCTATACAAGTGATGAATACATTTCAGTTAAGAAAAAGAAAAAACATAAGAGAATTGTGCAGTTGACTGCAATCTATTTTATTGCACATGACCACAGTCAGCAGTGTAAAATGAGCTAAACAGTGCAAAATATCAGTCCAGAATAATTTTTTGGCATCAAAATATAAGAGGTAAATTCCATAAAAAATAATGTAGAATCTGGAATAGAGTTTGTAAGTGGTATGCATTGCTGGGGGTGAGTGTCTTGTTCCCCATGTAGTTGTCCATCGTTGCTTGTTTTTTTCTGCATAAGAAACACAAATAAACTGAATTAAGTACACATATAAAATAAAGCAGCACACACACTACAACACTAAATCAATATTACATTATTTGAATTAATTAACAATATACAGTGATCATTTATTTTGACAAAAATGTGTTGTGAGGCGTTTTACAGCGTTAGATAGTAAAACAGCCTTTTAATAGTTAAAAAAGGACTTTCTGAATTTCTCCTGTATTTAAAAATTGAAAGCGTACAACTATGCCGCGTTATATTCACCTGGACACAGCTCGTCTGTATATTTTTCTCCGCGGAGTTGTCCTTTTTTGAATGAGGAACACAGTTATGGGTTTGTGCCGTTTTTCTCTTAACGAGAACATTCTTATACACAGACGTGCTAAATTTGGCAAGCGCATGATACACAACACGGAGGAGATTCACGATTGCATCTAGTCAATCAGAAGTAGAACACCGTAAACTGACGCGGCAAAAAAAAAAAAACATGTTTAACATCCACTATAACGAACTCAGCTAACACTAAGTCCCAAATGTGATCTGCGTTAGCTTGTTTATTTTCTGTTACTTACCGGACATTCCTCTGCTGCATCAGCCCCCACGTTTTCGTCTCAAATGTTCACTTAGGGACGTCGTGCTTCCGTCGTGCCATGGTTTTTGCATATTTTGTAGGTCACCGGTCTTTTCAAGGCATCTAGTGAAGTGCTCCCATACTCGTGAGGTTTTTGTCCGGGGTTTCTCTTGTTTTGTCGCTTCTATTTTTCTTCCGTATTTGTTGTTGATCCGCCATCTCTCACAGCAAGATGCGCGTCAGTAACGTGATACGTCATGAAAACCGAGGGCACTTATTGGCTAATTTCTTCTTCTACGGCCCCACTGGTAGATCAGTGGCTCATTACTGCCACACACTGGCGGCAAATTTAACAGATTGTAACCGATGTCAGATTGTGGTAAAAAATAGACTTTATGCGGTAAAATATGATTATTAAACAACTAATCGATGACTAAAAAAGTTGTTAACTATTTTAATAATCGATTATAATCGATTAAATCGATTAGTTGTTTCAGCTCTAGATGAATCTTTGGGTGGGAACTCCATAAGTAAACATAGCACAAAATATATTTAAAGTACAACATTTCAGCCTGAACAGTGTTTTGAACTCTAGAGGTAGATAAAAATGTAAACAAGTTACACACCTATAAACAAAACACGTAACAATAACCTTATAATGATGGTCCTTTGTAATCCAGAATGGGATCAATAACACAATTCCAATCACTATCTATTAAAGAATGAGTGTCATAAAACTTGGATTTTCAACATTTGATACAAACACATTGACCAAAAGAACAGGAACGTATGTTGTCTACGACAGTCACGTATTTCACGTTTTGATCAGCTTCAATCTTAGCGGCCACAAACTTAACTTTTGTTAATCAGGATGGCCACCCCTCTGGCCCTGGAACCAAACATTGAATACAATGTCTGTCACACCCATGGACACCTGAGCTTAGCTCGATCCTCTCTCCATAGATGGGTCTCTTGTAAAAACACCACATCAGCTCCTAAGCATTTTAAGTCAGAGAATACTTCAGATCTGTTAACTGGGTTATTCATACCCCTCACATTCCAAGTCAAAAACCTGAAACCACCGTCTCCTGAGGATAGACACAAAGCACTAGCCATGACGGCAAACAAAGATGAAATGACAAAAACAACCTAAACGCCCTCCCTGTCGCCATCCCCCCAGAGGAAGAAAAGAGGAAACAAAAGAGGCCCACTATCGCACACAAATACAAAACAAACCTACATCACCAAAACACTTGCTGAATAGCAGTAAAAAAAAAAAAAAGTATTGAAACAGTGTTTTTAGACTACCTCTCTGTCAGCTCACAGAACTGCATCGTGGTATTAAACCATTCATCCCTCTACCAGTCCTGTTCAGCCTCTGACCAGAGCATCTTCTGCACAGTAGCCAGACATGTGTCACCATTTTTCTCTTTCCTGGAGGAAAAAACATGGGAGGGTGGAGAAAAAAATAACACACAGGTGCCATTTAATACACTAAAATCTAACCACGTAGAATTAGATGTGTGTACCAGGTCTGGGGTGGCAGTGAGTGCTGGCAGTCAGTAGGTTTTAGGTGCAGTGTAGATGATGAATGAAGAAACTTTTTAGAATTAAACAATTTTAATGACATTTGGTACATATGGATGGAATAAGACCATTCTTTACCTGGTGTAGGGTGGCAGAGGGTGCCAGCAGCTGGCTGACAGAAGCTGATGCCTCAGCAGACGCTGGCTCTGGTGTAGCAGCAGGATGGATAAACATTTCAGAATTAAACACTTTATAAAAATACCTTTATCAGTAACATACAGTGTCCTAAACTAACTTATTGACTCAGTGATAAGTTACAAACCACACATATTAATAAAACCAGCCCACCATAAAAGAAAGCTAAAATATTAATTTGGTACAAATACATGAAGAAGAAGAAGAAGAAGAAGAAAATATCATTTCTAAAGCGCCTCTCAAGATAAAAATCATGAGGCGCTTCACAAAAACAAAAAATGTAAAAAATATAAAAAAGCATTTAGAAAAATGTTTAAAGATATATTTGAAATTAGCAAAAACAGGCAATTGTGATTAAAAAATGTTAAGAAAGAAAGAAAGTGAACAGGAAAGAGGGAAATCAGTGGATCCTGAGGAAGGTGGAATAGGTGGGGAGAGCAGAATAAAGAGAGAGAGGTGAAGAAGGTCATACAAAAGCCAGCTTGAACAAGTGAGTCTTCAGCTGCTTTTTAAAGGAGTTCACTGAGTCCACTGATCTCAGGCTCAGGGGGAGAGAGTTCCAGAGTCTGGGGCCACAGCAGCAAATGATCTGTCACCTTTGGTCTTTAGACTGGTGCGCTGCACAACCAGTAGGCTTTGATCACTGGACCTCAGGGACCTGCTGGGGGTGTAGGGACTAAGAATATCACCAATGTAAGATGGTGCTTGTCCATGTAAGGCCCTATAGACCAGAACCAGGATCTTGAAATGAACCCTGAAGTTGACTGGCAGCCAGTGAAGCTGGAGGAGAAGCGGGGTGATGTGGGTGTGTTTGGAGGACTTGGTCAGAAGCAGAGCACAGGCATTCTGAACCACCTGTAGACGGTTCAGGGAGGTTCTGCTCAGACACGTGAAAAGAGAGTTACAGTAGTCTAAGCATGAGGAGATGAAGGTGTGGATAACTGTCTCAAGTTCAGAGCGGGACAGAATGGGACTCCTGAGATGGAAGAAGGAAGAGCGAACAAGAGAACTGACATGAGAATCCAGGGTGAGAGCTGGGTCAAAGGTCACGCCAAGATTCCTGACAGAAGGTTTGGTGTGAGAAGCAAGTTGACCAAGAGAGTCTCTGACTTTGGGAACCAGCTTGTCTGGGGCACAGATGAGGATCTCAGTCTTATCTTCATTCAGCTGAAGAAAGCTCCCAGCCATCCAGGTTTTGATAGAGTCTAAGCAGGTGTGTAACAGCTGCAGCTTAGACATCTCATGGGGCTTAAAGGAGATGTACAGTTGGATGTAATCTGCATAAAAATGATAGGAGATTCATTTGAAGGAGCTCAGGATGTGCTGAAGTGGAAGCAGATAGAGGAGGAAGAGCAGAGGCCCCAGCACAGAACCTTGTGGGACACCATGGGTAAGGGAGGTGGTGGAGGACCTAAACTTGGAGACGGCCACAGAAAAGTAGCGCTCAGAGAGATAAGAGGAGAACCACTCCAGAGCAAATCCTGATAGGCCTACCCAGTCTCTCAGCCTCGCTATCGCTCCGAGATTTAATCCCAAAATGGAAAATTTCCTTTCGCAAACATTTGTAAATGCATTAAGAATGCTTTCTTTACCTGTTGGATTTTGGCGAGGTGTGCTGGTGGCCGCAGGAGTATCCGGGATGGAGTCCAGTCTGTTTCTAAATAAACAAATAAGAATCGGAACAAAATAGATGTGGAAATCATGCAAGGGGCTTAGCTCACAAAGCGCCTACGTCACGTTAGCTCCTTAGGAACCATGGAAAGTCCCTGCCTTTGAGTAGGTGTTAAAATGAGGAAAAGTTCCTAGTTCCTATCTGTCCAAATGTGCGCAAAAACAGGCTGGTTCCTGAAGAGTCTGTAGGAACTACAAAATGTTTCTACAGTCCTAAAGCGCCACTCTTACTCACTATTGGGCGCTCCTATAGAGAAACCTGACATATACAAGCGTGTGTACACACACAAGTGCTCTCACAAGGATAGACTTGGGCATTTTCAACACATCACGTGTGGTGGCTGTGGTTGCCACTAAATGCACAATGAATTATTACTGTGTGTTTCTCAGCAAAAATTGTTTCTTTTATGTATCATGTTGTTGGTGCAGTGATATTTTGGTCTTGTATTTTTGTGTGCCACATCAAGATGCTGATCTGACATCATGAGTAGTGCACAGGTGTACCTTATACTGCCCACAATAAAAGGCCACCCTGGAATGTGCAGTTTTGTCTCACAGCAAAATGCCACAGATGCTGACAGCAGCAGTGTCAACCAGATCTGTTGCTTGTGCATTGAATGTTCATTTCTCCTCCATAAGCCGTCTCCAAAGGTGTTTCAGAGAATATGGCAGTACATCCAGCCGGCCTCACAACCGCAGACAACATGTAACCACACCAGCCCAGGACCTCCACATCCAGCAGGTTCACCTCCAAGATCGTCTGAGACCAGCCACTCAGACAGCTGCTGAAACAATTGGTTTGCATAACCAAACAATTTCTGCACAAACTGTCAGAAACCGTCTCAGGGAAGCTCAACTGCATGCTCGTCGTCCTCATCGGGGTCTTGACCGGACTCCAGCTCGTCATCGTAACAGACTCGAGTGGACAAATGCTCACATTCGATGGCGTCTGGCACTTTGGAGAGGTGTTCTCTTCACGGATGAATCTCAATTTACATTGTTCAGGCCAGATGGCAGACAGCGTGTGTGGTGTGTGGGTGAGCGCTTTGCTGATGTCAATGTTGTGGATCGAGTGGCCCATGGTGGTGGTGGGGTTATGGTATGGGCAGGCATCTGTTACACAGGTGCATTTTATTGATGGTATTTTGAATGCACAGAGATACCGTGATGAGATCCTGAGGCCCATTGTTGTGCCATACATCCATGAACATCACCTCATATTTCAGCAAGATAATGCACGGCCCCATGTTGCAAGGATCTGTACACAATTCTTGGAAGCTGAAAATGTCCCGGTTCTTGCATGGCCAGCATACTCACCAGACATGTCACCCGTTGAGCATGTTTGAGATGTGCTTGACCGGCGTATACGACAGCATGTACCAGTTCCCACTAATATCCAACAACTTCGCACAGCCATTGAAGAGGAGTGGACCAACATTCCACAGGCCACAATTGACAATCTGATAAACTCTATGTGAAGAAGATGTGTTGCACTGCATGAGGCAAATGGTGGTCACACCAGATACTGACCGTTTGTGAGTCCTCAGACCCCCAATAAAGCAAAAAAACTGCACCTTCCAGGGTGGCCTTTTATTGTGGGCAGTATAAGGTACACCTGTGCACTACTCATGATGTCAGATCAGCATCTTGATGTGGCACACCTGTGAGGTGGGATGGATTATCTCAGCAAAGCACAGGTGCTCACTATCACACATTTAGACTGATTTGTGAACAATGTTTGAGAGAAATGGTAATATTGTGTATCTGGAATGAATTTTAGATCTTTAAGTCCATCTCATAAAAAATCGGAGCAGAAACAAAGGTGTTGCATTTATATTTTTGTTGAGTGTAATAAAGTTTTTGTAACAGGAGTGGCATTATAGCAGACGCTATAATGCCACTCCTGTGCAGCCATCATGCGTCACTCAACACAGCGTCTGTGCAGAAACTCGCCTAGGAACTTATTTCCGCTGCACTTAAATCGCGCAAATAAAATTTCATTATTTAATGGACAAAATTAACCGAACTGGTACGCAGGTGGCCCAAGCCGAGCAGGCCAAAGCGAAACTTTTCAAAGCCCCCCCCCCCCCACGTAACCGTTACACCCCTACCCTTCATGTACTATGAAAAGCAACAGGTCTATAGATGTCAATGACAGATGGTGTGTGGTGGTGACAATTATGTATCATGGTTTCTGCAGATGACAGCATGTCTGCGGCAAGCGTCTCTGATGTCAATGATCGCCTCTCCGCTCTGGAGCTCCGTGTCCAACAGCAGGAAGATGAACTGACTGTGATGAAGGCTGCTCTTGCTGACGTCCTTCGTCGTCTCGCCGTCTCAGAGGATTCTGCTGCCGCTGCAAGCAAGAAGCAGCATGGGGGAAAAGGTGAGTCAGTAATGTTTATCAGGAAGCATAAGGAAAGAGCGAGCTGTTGTCATAGTTACATCCTGGTGTTAACAGTTGAGTGCTGCCCCCTACAGGAGGAGCTGGACTGCGAGAGGCTTACTCTATGTCCTGCATCTCCAATGGAGGCACATCTGGACGAAAGAGAGACTCCACCTCTGTCACCAGGAAGGAGACGGTGTCATCTGCTGCCAAGAGGTAAAAACCTGGTAAAAGCATGGAAATGATGGGCGGGACCACAACAATTCATAAATGATTACTTGTGGTTTGACTGTGAGCTTTAATGTTTAAAGCCTTTATTTAGATGAGTTAGTTTTATTTCATGGGCTTATTTTGGAAACTTTATAACTTAAAATCAAAATAATTAGTAAAATGTCAGTTTAATAGATATTTAGGCCAAGGCACTTTATTTCTAGAGCACATTTCAAACACAGAGGCGATTCATTGTGCTTTACAATTATCAGGACATGATATGAAAACACATAAAAACACAAATTAAAACACACACAGATGGAATTACAGTTTAGAGCTAAAGGAGAAGACCAAGTTACATCACAGATTACAGTGGAGACGATGCAGCATAAGAAACAATTCATTTAAAGGCTGATGAGTACATTATAGAGTTTTTAGTTTTGTTTTAAACAACACTAGAGTTGGGGCACATCTGAGGTCATGGGGAAGCTGATTCCATATGTGAGCAGCATAGTAACTAAATGCATCTCCACCATGTTTGGTTCTGACCCGAGGTTCTACCAGCTGATTGTTTCCAAGGGATCTCAGAGCCCTGCTGGGTGTATATACAGGATCGAGGTCGGACATGTGTGTTGGTCCCATGCCATTGAGTGATTTATAAACTTGTAGTAGCACTTTGAAATATATTCTGTAGTTTACTGGTAACCAGTGTAGGGATCTAAGAACAGGAGTGACGTGCTCCGTTCTCTTAGTTCTTGTTAAGACTCTAGCAGCAGCATTCTGAACAAGCTGCAGTTGCTTCACAGCTTTTTTGGGAAGACCAGTTAGGAGACCATTGCAGTAGTCCAGCCGACTAGAAATAAAACCATGAATGATTTTCTCTAAGTCGGGTCTGGACTTGAGACCTCTGACTCTTGATATTTGATGAAGGTGATAAAACGCTGATTTAGTTATAGCCTTAATATGTCCAGAGAAGTTCAGGTCTGAGTAAATAATA